TCCCACCCACAAGCTATATTGAATTGTTTGATAAGAAAGACCTTGAGAAAGGGAGTGAAGAGATGCTGCCTGGGGAACAGTCAGATAAGAGAGGGCATGGCCTGCAGCTACATAATGGATGGAGAAAGAGGCTCAGAAGGGACCCTCCCTAACTTCTCAGGCTATAAAAGAGACAGCGGGAGAAGTATACTTTCAGACTTGCAAAACTGATGTCAACCTTCCAGGTACAAATCTTCAGCTGTCCCTTTTTCAGCCTGAGAAGTTAGGGAGGGTCCCTTCTGAGACTCTTGCCTCACCCATTATCCAGCTGTGGGCCATGCTGCCTCTTATCTGACTGTTCCCTAGGCAGCATCTTTTTGCCCCATTTCTCAAGGTCTTTCTCACATACCATTACAATATGGCTGGTGGGGAGAAGTCAGTTTAACTCTGTGCCAGTTGGGATCCGTTTCAGACAAAATCTAACTGCTGGGAATTAACTGACTGGATCAATGAACTTCTTTGAATTGAACCCTGCGATCAGTGATTTCCCATGAGCTGGGAATGGATTTCTTTATTCATATACTGTGAAGCAAGTGTTGATCTCCACCTTGTATGCAGCCTGCCATTTGCAATGTCTGAGATAACGTGGTCCAGCCCTAGGGGCTTAGGGGCTGGTCTTTGGAGGCAGGGGTGCTCACCTGTCATCCCTGAATGTACAATTCAGGTAGAGCTGGTTTTTTAGATTAAAATCAAAGGTGAAATCTTGCACTAATTCTGGCTGGAAGATCTTCCTCTGATCTGCTGCCTCTTGGTAGTATCGAATCATATCAGGGAACCAGACAATCAGGCCATAGTAACTGCAGAGAAGTAAAAACGTCAGTAGCATTCCTTTCTTGGGTGACCCAAAGAGGTCTTTCACAATTTTAGGACTGGAAACAGAAGCTGGCTACTTGTCCAAATCCTATGATTCTACTCCCAGTCCCCAATTATACACAAAGTCTTGCTGCCCTGGTCTTTGTAGACATTTTATTTTATTTTACTTTTATGGTTCTAAAGTCCAACTGCATATAAAGAAGCTGTTCCCACCCATAAACAGCTCAAGCCATCTATGTTTTTAGTTAACAAACTCTTCCTAATGCAACTATGGTGCAGGGCAGAGCTGAAGGGCAAGGGTGTCTGCAGGGGGAGGGTAAAAAAAAGTCAAGATAGCAACCACGACCATGTGATCAAAACCCTTCCATTGATATGGCCATCATCTTAACATTTCTGACCCTTTCCCTGCAGACATCCCTGCCCATTTCAGCTCATTTTTCATAGACACACCCTCCCTGTGCCTGCAGAGAGGTAGTAATTGAAATAGCTATAGAGATGCAATGCCTACAGAGGCCCCCTTTCTTTGAGGGCCCTCTCTAGGACTTTATATCAGGAGAGGTAAGGGTTAGATAGCCCCATGGTTAGAAAGATATGGCTGGTGGGGAAAAGTCAGTTTAATCCTCTGCAGGTTGGGATCTGTTTCAGGCAAAATCTAATTGCTGGGGGTTAATTGACTGGATCACTTCTCTTTGTGGACTTCCCAGTACACTACAGCTGAGTTCATATAACATGTTTACCAGTTGCAAACCTAATGATTGTACTCTTGGTTAGTTTTAACCTTGGTTGGATTTTTCTCTCACTTAGTCTGTTGTTCAAATCCAGCCTGTTGGATTACTGCATGATTAAATGTATTGTGCAAACATATAAAATTGGTTAATTCAGGAGCCCAGTTAAGTGTGTTGTACAGAGACAACCACACACATGCCTAGTGCTTCAGTTAACCTGTCACAGGAACAGGGCCAAGAGAGGTCCTTCTTTCAAATTGAAACTGGAGCTCACTGGTAAGGAAAACACAGCTGAGAAAGCAAGGATTTGATAACACAAGTGAAATGTGAAGGTAGTGGTGCTTCTTCTAGCTTTAGGCCACATTTGTTAAAACAACTTATTTATGCAAGTAAATAAATAAATAGCTTTACAGAATGCAAAACCCAAACCAAGTCTTGTGAAGCTGAGCAAAAATGCTCAGTCCCTTTAGATGAAAACTTGTCCTATGGAAAGCAAAATAGATCTCCAACCTTCTTCAGGCCTCCCTAGCTGGCACCAAGAGAATCAAGCAGCTATGCTTGGTGGTCTGTAGGCTGTTGCTAATCAATGTTGGGCAGCAAAAATATACTGCATTTTTCCTACTAGTTCTCACTCAATTTGAGGAAAGAAAATTGGTTTTAGACATTATTTCAAAGGAGAAGCTCATACTGGAGAAGTTCTCACAGGAGGAGTGTGATACTACAGACATATTTAGCTACATGGTGGCCTCCAAAACGTAAGTGTGAATGTCCTGTTTTTCATGATCCCATCCTCTCTACAAAAGCCTGGCTTCCCATCTTTCCCTTCAATGCCAAAGGAATTGCAAGGAACTCCTTGCAGAGAGTTTTATTAGTACTAGTGGTGCTACTGTAACACCAAGGAGGAGTCATGCCCTTCAGAGATGGTTGGAGAACCTCTCCTTCCTCTGGACATAAAATCATCCAGCCAATTTTCCTGCCCACTTATTTGGGGCAGAATTTTGAAAGTTTCCAATTTTGAAAAATATGTAGGGAGGCATCAACTAGAGTTGATTTCATAGCTGATATGTTGGACATACTCATTGTAGATCAATCAAAGTGGAAGGATAATGTTCTACAAACCCAAGGAAATTCTAAGACACCTACCTTAAGGCCATTGTAAACCAGACAACTGCCAGTAATAGTGTGTTCATTCTGTACTGGGCTGTCAGACAATACAGCACGTTGTCCACTACCTAGGAAATCCAAAGGAGTAGTCGCTGAAAATAACTAACTCTTGATGAAACGTATAGCTCTAACTGTACATTATACCAAATTTATCATTCCATTATCATTCTGTTATCATTCCAGAAGTCCCTCAAGACCTGGTTATGTCACCAGGCCTGGGGGTCCCAGGGTACTGGAGGCATTCTTAGATGGCTCCATTGTGGTTGATCTTTTTACTTTCTCCATGTGGTTTGTATATTTTAATTTTTATAGTGTTTTTTTTTCATTTTTAATAATGACTTTTTATACTTTTATAATTATAGTTCTATATATTTGTTGGTTTTATTGATTGTTGTACACCACCCTGGTATGCCAACCAGAGTCACTTTTTGTGAGATGGGCAGCCATACAAATTTCGTAAATAAATAAGTAAATAAAATATTGCTATTATTATTTTCTTGTGGTGTTTCATTCAAAGGCCCAGCACAAGTGAGTCCTCCTTTGCAAACCAATGAAGTATTAATCTTAAAATAGACACACTATAAAAGCAGGAGTGCATGCTCTTATCAATGCAGCAGATTAATCCACTTGAGTTTTAGAGCAATTCTAAACACTGAGAGTTATAGCTTCTTCAGAGATCCAGTTTTCATTTATGCCATTCTACTATGGATAATCTTTGAGTTACAACCACTCATTCAGCAACTGTTCCAAGATACAACGGTGCTGAACAAATGGTACTTACAACCAGTCCTCAGAGTTCCGGCCATCACAGCATCCCCATGATCATGTGATTGTGATCTGGGCACTTGGCACCTGGCTCACAATTACAACATTGCAGTAAGCCACAGTCATGTGATCACGATTTCTGATGTTCCCCATCAGCTTCCCACAAGCAAAGTCAATTGGGGAAGCCGGCAGGAAGCCGGAAGTCATGATCACACGAGGTCCTCGCTTAATGTTGGCAACAGGGACTTCCGGAATTGCGAAGTGAAGCTATGGTGTGATGTTGCACTTTACAACCACATTGCTTAGCGGTGGGAATTCTGGTTCCCATTGCCATCATAACCCAAGGATTACCTGTACAAGAGGAACAAAATATTGTAAAGAGGTTTTCAAGCTGTTTCTAATTAATATTCAATCAATCAATCAAATTGTTATTACGATCAAAGACCAGTATATCTAATTAATATTACAATGTTTGAACAATGATAGTTTTTCCATGTAAGAAGTGATGGCCTTAATTTATTCTATAATTTGTTATGATTTCTTCCATATTTCAAAAGGCACCTTCAATGAAGCTATTCAGCTGAGCGAAAATTGTTGTGTTTAATCAACTTAATATCATTCATGGACTGACAGTTTTATGTGAACTAATGTTTGTTGGTTCATACATTGTGTTAAGATATAATTTGATTTGGTTGGGCTTAGTTTAGTGCAATGTGTGAAGCCACTGTGACTTATTCATCACATCGTGGTTAAACATTTATAACTAAGCAAAATATGCAACCATATGGCCATAGATCTTCACCAAGATGTATCCCAGAAAACTTTTATCCCAAGGATTATTTACTGGAGGGAAAGGAGAATAAATTGTTGAATTAGGCCATCACAGAGCACTAGTTAGTTTGTTTCATACAACACACTAGACTGGGACTGAAGGTGTTATAGCAACTCAACCATTGTCTTCCTATACTAAATGAACTAGACCATCAACTTAAGCCATAACATGGCTTGTTTGTTTGAACATTGCATGGTATGTGAACATAAGCAACTGTGTTTTGCTAACCCAGGTTGTTGTGTTGTATGAATCCAAACATTGGATGCGTTTTTCTTAGTCATCCTTGTTCCATACCTGTCTGAAGGTGGTCGTGGCTCTAACAAAGCAACGCTGGTACCATGTTCCTGTTGAGTTCTGTATTTCAATAAATTCATCAATCTGCTTGGGAGTTTTTATCTGAGCCACCTGAAGGAGGAAAAAACGGAGCAGAGTTTACAGACCTCATCATCACTAGCAGCCACTTCAAACACAACCTGGCTTGTGTTAGCAACTTCACAAAGGCAACAGAATGCAGGTGTGGGTCTGTTCTCACACCTGAACTGCGAACCCCCTGGAAGCCAGAATTACTTGTGACTACACAAAACACACACACACGTTTATTACAGCCCTAAGGCCAGAAACAATCAAAGTATACAATAACAACCATCTTACATTTATATATATCTATAAAACAAAACAAT